GAAGATGTTGTGGAAGAGGACGCCAGGGCAGCAGAAGCTTGGTTTGGTGTAGAAGGCTTACAGCCCTTGCCTCGCAACGCTGCCAGTTCTGTTAGCTCTACGCCTGCTGAAGACACAGACGTCCATTCCCGTGAACACTGGGACGGAACTCAATGGGAAAGTAAATTATTCTTATTTCAACCGTTGCGTATATTAGCTGCGACATATGAATCAAGATACTGGGACCAAAAAATTTTATTGACAGATGACCATTGATATATGATTGACCGAATTTAGGTGTTCAGGCTGACATATAATTAACTGGCCTACAGAAGATCACAAAAAAACACAAATTTTGAGACAGGATTTTGTTCTTAAATAGAAATTTTCTAAATTTTGGGACAATATCGTCTGATAAAGAGTACATTTATATACATGTTTAAGCCATAATAATTCAACATTTAAATATGATTTCCCTACGACTTCAAAATATTATTTCGCTGTCGGATGCACTCAGAACTCCACATACTGGCGGTGCGCTGTCACTGGGAATCCCCAGCAGAGGCTGCCTCAGGCCCAGTTGCCTCTTGGGGGTTCTCCGTGACTGTTCATCGCGGCTGGAAGTAGATGTTAGTGTTTTTCAAGTACATAATCCAAACTGCAGGCACAGGAATAATGAAAATGAACATATTTTGCTGGCAGGTTTCGACATTTTAAGTTAATTTAGGCGTTAATAAACTGTTCTCCGAGGAGTGATCATAGCGCTCTGCATCAGCAGTGCTGTGTCTGTCTCCCTGCCAGCTTAATGTGGCGCGTCAAACAGCAAAGATTGAATTTAGCCAACTCCAACATCTGCTGCTTCTAAAGCGCTTCATTTGCCTCAGATGTTCAGAGGCTAAAGAGGCGCTACATCAGCTACTCAGATGCAACAAGATGCTCCCCTTCTGCTACTCGAAATGCGCTGCAGGACCTTTTGATGCACCTTGATGCGCATCATCCATTGACTTTGTTTGTAAACTAGCTGCTTCTGCTGCTCGAATCGCGTGAAAAACAGCAAACCTAATGAGACACGGGGGTCAGCCTGAAATGACAGGCTTGATGAGGAGAGGGTTATCAACCCATTAGGAGCAGCTCAGGTAGGAGACTGTTGATGTTAGTTTTGCGATCTAAAAATCTGGTCACTGTAGATGAGATTAAAGTTCAACCATATTGTTTTTATTAAGGCCAACCATTAAAATAAGGATTAAGTATTAACTGATCCCAGATTTACACTACTGATCTTTTGGGGGGCAGATTCTTTAAGGCTACGGGGTGAATTCTGTACCATTATTTTTGCAAGGAAAGTTTTAAAAAGAAATACAAAAAAACAAACACATTGACAAAATCAAACCAGAAAGAACATTTGCCGTTTTCACTGTGTTTTTTTTTCAAGTTTATTCCTATTCATTTATTTTACAGATTTTATATAAATTTTTGTTATTTTATTTTCGTTTTTCAGATTGGGTTTTATGAATCGATTTTTAAATTCATTTTTAAATAGTCATTAACAGATAAGAATCACCTCCCTTCTGGGCAGGCTTTACTTTCAAGATATATTTCTATTGGTCTGTATGGAAGCTATCAACATTTTTACTGGCCAAGAGTGAATGTTTTAATTGGCACTGAATTTAAGACAAACTGGTCTCTAAAACACAATTTGAAAAAAAGAATGCAGTTCACAAAATTTATTCTGAAAAATAGAAATTTGAAAAGAGAAATTTAAAATTGGGAAGTGAAAAAAAATCCCTGGACTTATTGCAGATACAATCAGTAACTGAACATATTTAAGGACGAACCTCTTTCTCTGATACTCCAAGCAGGACAGACACTGGATGGATGACCTGGACCCAAAGAGGAGCTTCCTAAACAAAGAAAGATTTTTTAATATGAATTATTAGGTCAATTTAACCCATTTCCCTTGATGGGAAGCCTTAGAATTACCTTTGGCATCTCAGCTGTGATGGTCACTCTGAACAGATACATGGACACATACATGCCAGCCATCATCATGATGAGCAGGCCATGGCGAGGGTTGCCATGGGTGCTCAAGCCTTTCTAAGGAAACACAGAGAGAAGATATTTCAACAACATTTAAGGCCAAACTACAATCCGTATTGCTTGTTTTACTCACACGAGCTACGGCCCTGTCCGAGATGAAACCTGCTGAAAGGCTGCCGATGAACCCCCCCACCTCCAGCGCGCTCATGTAGGTGCTGCCTGTTAGTGACAGAGCTGTGGTCAGCAACACTACGGTTAAAAAAGACAATCAAGCTAACAACCGATGGCAAAGCGCACCCATGAGAGCGGTTTGGCCTTTCTCCTGCATGAGGAACAGCTGCCCCCAGTCAGTGGCTGCGGTCTTCACCCCGAACACGACCAAGTAACCCAGAGACAGCACCCACAGGAAGGGAGAGAGGAGGAATTCGCTCAGGGTGCTTTCACTGTTGGCTGCAGAGCACAGAGAAGAGCTCATCCCGTCACTTTTTATATTCACTAAAAAAGGACTTAGTTAGAGCTGACGGATAATTTCCAGTTGAAACATGGGAAAAAGCATGTCTTTGAAAGTAACACTATGTTTTGCTCACCTCCTTTTGAACCCTTCTTAGCTGCTGCTTCAATGCTGGGAAGTCCCACATCCTTTGGCTCATTCTTTACAAATATCAGACAAACGAACGAGAACGAAGCACAGAAAACGCCCGACATGGCCAGAATCGTTCTCCATTCGTAGTAATGCAGGAGCACGGTGACCATGAGAGGACCCAGACTGCCGGCCAGGTTCATGCTGCAGGAGAGCACAGACCACCATGTTCCAAACTGGGAGGGCTCATACCACTGTGGACACACACACAAAAAGGCCTTGATAGATCTTCGGTTCTGATCCCAAACATTTAGGAATCTGCAGAATAACACCTGTTTAAATGGGCATGATCTTCAGAAAAGTTTGTGCTTCTTAAAACAGATGCAAACATGTTTGTACCTCAGAGCGGGGGGGGGTACAAACATACAAACTGAGGTACAAACATGCAAACATGTTTGTACCTCAGAGCGGGGGGGGGTACAAACATACAAACTGAGGTACAAACATGCAAACATGTTTGTACCTCAG